CGAAAATACCAGTGCAAACTTGTCAGTGGGCTTCACTCTTTAATATTGCTATCAATTTCATACATTTATACTCATGTCCAGTCATTGTAAGCTGGATGTTTAACATATGGAAGAAGGTGAGAGGAAATTTCATCAGAAAATACCAATGCAAACTTGTAAGTGGGCTTCACTCTTTAGTATTGCTATCAATTGTTGTGCATTTCTACTCATGTCAAGTCTTCGTCAACTGATCTGAAACTGCAGTTGATAGGCATGGACATGGGGTGGGAGCTCCCGATTAGAAAAGTTGTACTGAAGTCAACTTCGAAGGAAACCACAGAAAATTTTTTTTTTTTGATAAATGAAAAAAGAGAAAACCTATTACCGGTCAATTATTCGAAAAATAAATTCAAATAACTTTTTATACAATTCTATAATTTTTTATACAAAGCTAACAGAGATTTTTAATATTTTTTACATCAAAAATAATGTTTTGTAGAGTGTCATGCACTCATCATCAAGTTAGCATAGTTGATCGTCATATTCATTCAATAAAATTAATAAATTTGATAATAATATATTATATAATTTATATATAAAATTAAGCATTTTAAAAGTATTAAAAGTGATCGATTTAAATATTTTTATAAATTTTTAAATTAATAAATTTATTTACAATTAGAATAAAATTTAGCCTATTCTTCCAATAAATAATTAATCACATAAATTTTAATATAATTTAAGATAATAAAAAGTAATGGCATAAATAATTGAAGGAAAGCTATGGTAAATTGTATAATAGAGCAGTACGAATTTATCTCTCAAAAAAGCCATGCATTAATTATATGACTTATTAGTTTTGATTTGGTAACAAATATGATTCATATCTTTTAGAATAATAAAACACAGCATTTATCTAAAATAAAATTCAAAGCATTGGCCTTACTTGGCTGAAATCGTAGTTACATAATTAGATTTTTGAGAATTGGAGAACCATTCGCTTTTTATTTTTGTTGTATTATGTATTTGATTTTCAAGCTGTCTTTTATCGTTATAAATTTAGATTTCGACCACTCAAAAGAAAAGAAACAAAAAAATTTGATTTAAATATTAGACGTACCCGTAGCAAAAATTGGAAAAATTAAATTATTGAAAATTTTTTTTAATTACCTCAATTATCTCAAAAGATTTTGCCGTTTATAAAGTGACGTTTATGATATTTCAAGCAATTTTTTTAAAAAATTTGATCGTAAATTACAAAAGATATTAATAAAATGATAATATATGTGTAGACAAATAAAATGAAAAAATAATTTACATAATACTATATTTTTTGGAATTCTTAGATAAAGTGCTTAATAAAGGTTTTTGTTATCATGTTTCAGGAAAAGTGATTCTGTTTTTTTAAATAAATAGGCATTTATTATTAAAAATGTTTCAAGAAAAAAATGTTGCTAACATTAAAATATAAGTTAGATAGAAGGAAGGCGTAAGGAAATTTCGTCCGAAATTATCTGTGTAAACTTGTCAGTGCGTATTGGCCTCCGTTCAAAAGTCAAAACGCATGATAGTCAAGTCTAAAAGGTCTATCAATTAGCAAAGCACAGAAATTAATAAAACTTGTTAGAGGCGATACTAATTGGATAAGCCTCCATTAGATTATTAAAACGTCATTTGAAGTCGAACAATTTATATATGGTACTAAGGACAGCGATTCTGATTGATTTATCAAAGGTGATCATCTTAGCCCTCTTTTTCTCCATTCACCTTAACATCATTGTCTTTTCTTTCTTTCAGATCTTCCTTCCATTAAACTCTCAAAGCATTTTGTCACTGTCTTAACTATTAGTTGAACCACAAATGGCTGGAGCTTTCATCGGTGCTATCGTAGAACTGGCACTGTCCAAGGCTATCTCCATCATTGAGAAGCAGATCAACCTCGCATGGGGTTTTCAGGACGAGCTAAACAAGCTACGCGCCTCACTAGATATGGCTTTAGCTTTCTTGCGAGATGCCGAAAGGAGGCAAGTTGATATCTCAAAAGGTTTACATAATACTATATTTTTTGGAATTCTTAGTACAGTGCTTAACAATTTTTTTTTATCATGTTTCAGGAAAATTGATTCGAATTTTATTAAATAAAAAATCTATTTAATATTAAAAAATGTGTCAAGAAAAAATGTTGGTAACAGTAAAACATAAGTTAGATAGAAGGAAGGCGCGAGGACATTTCGTCCGAAAATATCAGTGCAAACTTGTCAGTGGGCAGTGGCCTCCCTTCAAAAGTCAAAACACATGATTGTCAAGTCTAAAAGGCGTATTAATTTGCAAATCAGAGAAATTAATAAAATTGTTAGAGTCGATACTAATCGGATAGCCTCCATTAGATTATTAAAACGTCATTTGAAGTCGAACAATTTATATATGGTACTAAGGAAAGTGATTTTGATCGACTTGCAAAGTTGATCATCTGAGCCCTCTCTTTCTCCATCACCTTAACACTTAACACCATTCTCTTTTCTTTCTTTCAGATCTTCCTTTCATTGAACTCTCAAAGAATTTTGTCACTGTCTTAACTATTAGTTGAACCACAAATGGCTGGAGCTTTCATCGGTGCTATCGTAGAACTGGCACGGTCCAAGGCTATCTCCATCATTGAGGAGCAGATCAACCTCGCATGGGGTTTTCAGGACGAGCTGAGCAAGCTACGCGCCTCACTAGATATGGCTCTAGCTTTCTTGCGAGATGCCGAGAGGAGTCAAGTTGATGGGCTTGTCAAAGTTTGGTTGAGGCAGCTTGAAGATATTGCTTACGAAGCGGATGATGTGTTGGATGAGCTTGATTATGAAGATCTTCGAAGTAAGGTGGACACAAGAAAGAGAAGAAAGGTCAGCAACATCTTTTCCTTCTTCAAAAATCCCATGGCTGAAAAGGTTAAGAAAATTAACCTACGTATGGATGAAATTAATGATCGGGCCTTCAAACTTGGACTCCAACATGGAGTTCAAAATGTGCCTCCCATATTTAGTGGAGTAGGAAGCACCAACTCCTTCGTTGACTCATCACGAGTTGTTGGGAGGGAAGCTGATATCTCAAACATAGTTGATCTATTGATTGGCTCAACCACTCAACAAACTTTCTCATTAGTATCCATAGTAGGCATGGCGGGCTTGGGGAAAACTACTTTAGCACAGTCCGTATGCAAAAATGAGAAAGTAAAGAATTGTTTCAATAAAATAGTGTGGGTGTGTGTGGCTGAAAATTTTGATGTCCGAAGGATTTTACAGGAGATGTATGAATCTCTTACTAAGAAACCTTGTGGCATGAAAAATGAGGATGCTGTACTTCAGGAAATACAAGAAGAGTTGAAAGGGAAAACCTATCTTCTCGTTCTTGATGATGTGTGGGATGAGAATTTTAAAAACTGGGAGGACTTAAGGGGTAGATTGCTGGGAATAAATGGAAATAAACAAAGTAGGAGTAGCATTCTTGTCACAACTCGTGTCGAAAATGTTGCAGTGGTAAGGGAAACACCTCAAGGAAATAGGTATTTTCTTGAGTCACTAAAAGATGATGAGTGCTGGGCTATAATAGAAAAAAGAGCATTCCAAAACTCTTTAATATCTCCAGAATTGGAAGATATCGGGAGGGTTATTGCTAAAAAATGTAGAGGTGTCCCATTGGCGGCAAATGTTATAGGGGGAACAATGTGCAACAATCAAAATAAAGATGAGTGGGTGAAAATCAGAGATAGTCCTCATTGGGGTTCTCTAGAAAATGATAAAGCGATTTTAGATGTTTTGAAATTAAGTTTTGATCGCTTGTCTTCCCCATCTTTAAAGCAATGTTTTGCTTATTGTTCTATTTTTCCTAAAGATTTCCGCATCCAAAAGGAGCAATTGATCCAGCTTTGGATGGCGGAAGGCTTTCTTCAACAAAGTTCCCAGCTGGCATTTGAGGAAACTGGTAATGAGTACTTCAATCACTTGTTATCAAAGTCCTTATTGCAAGACGTGGAGATTGATGGATATGGGTGCATTACAACATGCAAGATGCATGATTTAGTTCATGATCTTGCACAATCCATTTCAAATGCACAAACCAATTCCACTCATTATAATTCTCATGAAAATGTCCATGATATTGGTGTGAGACTGTGTCGTTCCTTGTTCTTGAAAACTAATGCTTCCCACATTGAATGGAAATTCGAAGGCTTACGGGTTCTTAATTTTCGTGATGCTGACATTGACTCCTTGCCAGATTCGATTGGTAGACTAATACATTTGAGATATTTAGATATCTCAAGAACTCGCATAAGCAGACTACCTGAAGCCATTACCCAGCTCTACCATTTGCAGACATTAAGATTGCTGACTGACATACCACATCGTTTTAATCCTCGGCTTGAAAAACTTCCTGAAGGAATGAAAAATTTAGTTAGCTTGAGGCATTTATATATCGATCATCGAAGTCATGTTCCTGTTGAGATTGGATGTCTAACTAGTCTTCGTACTTTGCCAGTATTTGATGTCGGCACAGAAAGTGGACTTGGAATTGGAGAATTGGGATGTTTAAGTAAACTTGGAGGAACATTGGAGATATTAAATCTCCGGAATGTTAGAAACAAAGAAGAAGCAAGGGGAGCAAAGCTATGGGAGAAGGAGAAATTACTCAAGTTAGAATACCAATGGAACTGGGAAAGGGAAGGTTGCAGTAGCTTTGAGGAAGTATTGGAAGGGTTTGAAGGTTGCAATAACGATAAGGAAGTATTGGAAGCGTTGGAACCTCACTCGAATTTGAAAAGCTTAACTATTGAGGCTTATAAAGGAGGGCATTTCCCGTCATGGTTGGTAAGGAGTATTAGTGGTTCAAGTGCTTCTTTTCAACCCATCAATTTGGAGGACTTGACACTATTCGAGTGTTGGAATGTAGAGAACCTTCCAATTCTTGGGCAATATCCCAAACTCAAACGTCTTACAATGGGAAATTTATATAATTTGAGGAGCATAGAATGCTCAGAAGTGGAGCCAACATTTCCTTCTCTAAAAGAGTTGAAAATTGGCTTATGTAATAAGCTAAGCAGCGTTCCAATAATGAGTAGATTTTCTTCTCTTGAGGAACTTGATATCAATGGTTGCGGGGAGTTAAGTTGGACCGGTGATACACTATTTCCCTCTACTCTCAAAAAGTTGTCAATATGCTGGTGTTCAAACTTAAGGTTCATTCCAAGTGTTGAGGGTGGTATCTCTTCTCTTCAAGAGCTTGTCGTGGCGGAATGTGACAAATTATGTAAAATAGAAGAGGGACTAGCCTCCACATGTCTAAAACATGTATGCATTAGTGGATGCAAGGGATTAACAAGTCTACCAACTGGATTGCTTGCCTGTACTTCTCTTGAGTATTTGTCCTTGGGCAATTGCACAAATCTGGAGTCAATTCCAGGAGAGAGCATTGACTGCCTTACCCGTTTGAAGGAATTGGAATTGGGTCCCTTCTCAGAAGAGCTTGAGGAATTTCCACTTCTCAATTCCATCCACAGCGTCCGTTCTTCCCTTCAACACTTGAGTTTGAATGGATGGGAAAAACTAAGCTCTCTGCCGCATCAACTTCAACACTTCACCGCACTTGAGAGATTATACATTTCGAACTTCAATGGAGTGATAGCTTTGCCAGAGTGGTTGGGAAACCTCTCCTCTCTTCGACTATTATTCATTTGGCATTGCGTGAATCTAAGGCGTCTGCCCTCTAAGGAAGCCATGCAACGCCTCTCCAATTTACAGGAGCTTTCTATCTATATTTGTCCGCGATTAAACAAAATGGCCGAGCTGTCCAAGATCTCCAACATTCCAAAAACCTACGTTAATTGATGACGCTTCCTAGAGGTACTATAATTTTCTTAAGCCCATAAGCTTCGACTCATCATCTTCTACCATTATCATTTCATTCAACAATTCTTCCTATTCAATCTGCAACTCCTTTGTTTTTTTTTTCCTTCTAATTTTTCAATTTTCTCCATTTTTTTTATTCTTGTTCATGGATTTATGGACTGATTTTGTATAATGTATCTGACGCACTATTTCAATAGAAAATGTAAGTTCAAGTTTGGCAAATATGCTTCTATGATAGTTTCAATACTTCCTGCGTTTACTTTTTGAGCTAAGCTGAGCTTCAAAAAATCAGCTATTGTCTTTCTTTCCCTTTATTTCTTTATTAATTTATTTGCTGAAGCTTTATTTTGAATAAGAATTTTTTCAAATATGAGTCTGTAAATCAGCTAACCTCGAAGCGACAACCAAAAACAAGTTTATCAATAATAGAAAACTGTGTTTAGGTTTCTATTGAATGACAATCTCAATCTGTCTTTTCCCCATACAACAAGCATTAACTTTTACTTATCATTGTCCCCTTTTTTTGCTAGGAATTTTACAAATAAGATATAAGTCAATTTTTGCATCTGGTTATCTTGGCAAATTCCTTGGGAATTTTATTACCTTATTATAGGTGTTTCACTTTATCCTAATGACAAATTAATGGCTTTCTTTGTACTGTTTAGATTTTATGAAAAACCCATTGGACCACATGGGGGCCAATGTAGCATCAGAATTTCAAATCACACTGCAAAAGTTCTTTGTCCCTCTGTTTCACTTTATGATAATGACAACAATTGATGACTTTCTTTGTATTATTTAGTTCTAATGAAGAACCCAGTTGACCAGATGGGAAACAATGTGGCATCAAATTTTCAAATGACACTGCAAAAGTTCGTTGTCCCTTTGTTTCACTCCATAAATTTGGGTAAGTTACATTTTTAATCCAATTATCATTTGTATTCTTATCCCTCTTTTTAAAACTTCTCACATTTTGATATGTTAAAATCATAATACACGTGATCTTAAATAATTTAAAAAAGTTTCCCTATCCAAACTTTGTTCTATCGTTTTAACACATGATCGTTATGCTCCTTTCGATGTGCGCTGTTTAAAAGTTTGGATTTACGTTGGAAAATCAGAGCCTTTGTTAGCTTGTATTTAATCTTTCAGTCTTTTCATTTATCAAAAAAAAGTTGTTATACTTAATTTGATTAAAACCTTTACTAAACCTCACTGTTTTCCATTTAATACTGAAATTTTTTTGGCAGAAGAATGCACCAGAGTGATGAAGCTGAGTTGGATATTTATCCAACACTGGATTTTTTAGAGAGGAAGTTCAAAATGATTGTCAATTTTTTCCCAGCTGAAGTTCTGGAATTCCCAGGTCTTGGTCCCTTCCACAACTCCTCCACTCTTCCCTTTTGAACTCTTGAGATTGAATGGATCGGAAAAATGAAGTTCTCTGCGACACATCAACTTTAACACCTCACTGCATTAAGGAATTAGAGTTATGGAACTTCGAAGGACTGAAAACCTTGCCAAAGTGGTTGTGAATCCTCTCATCACTTTTATATCTAAAGATTCAGAATTGTGAGTATCTAATACGTCTGCCATCTAAGGAAGCCATGTGAAGCCCCTCCAATATGCAAAAATGAAATGTTTTAGGTTATCCTCAATTAAACTGTAGCTTGTGAGCTCCTCTAACTCTAATTTTGTCTTGTTTTTTCTCTATCAGAAAACTTTTTGTTCAAAAGTCATCCTTTTTTCCCAAATATGTTTATTGTATTTGTCTTTGTTTAATTGTTGTGGCATGATATTGTAAGGAAGGAACTGAGAAGCACCATTGCCTATAGTTCAACTACTAAGATCTTTTCTTAATATAGGCAAAAGCCCTTCTGAAGGTATTTTCTTATGTACCTTAAAAATAATGGCAATGACTAGGTTATTTTTTACGAGTTTCCTTAGTTGTTGCATTAAGTAGGTAAGCTTGATTGTGGCATGATGCAGATGACCCTTCCATGCTCTTCCAGACAGTGAAGGATATGACGGAACCACAACAGATCACAAGACTTTCTGTCATTTATTGTCTATACTAAGGAGGCCACCCATATTTCACATTGTAAGTAACTGGAGAAGTTGGGGAGTAGAGATTATAAGCATGTCTTGATTTAACTGGTTACTGTTAATCTCTTCAAAGCTGAGCATGAGGTACAAGATTGCAATTTTCCCCCACATCCTTATTTGGAATCTTCTATCCAGCTGCAGGGTTTAAAACCATTCAAATGCACGCAATGTTTTCTAGCATGGAAATGCAGCAATGTGAGTGGTCGAAGGTGATGCCATATTGATCACAAATCACAAATTATGTCAGATTGTGTTCATTTCATGTTTTAGTTGTTCGTTTAATATTTTTTTTTTAGTAATTTGTGGTGTTGGTTTGCAGATCTTGCTCTCAGCATTCGAATTTTTGCATTGTGGTCAGGTTTGCTCCATCTCCTGATCCATCATTCAGCATCAAATTCTATGATCGAACTCCAGAACAACAAGCATGTTTGGGATTTCTTGTTCTCATCAGTGTTGAATGAGCCTGCTGCTGGAGATTCTATGGAGGAAACAAGCAATGAAGTTGATCAGATAGGCAGACGACCGCATGGATCAGTAGGAGCAGCAGCTGGTCAGAGGGCCATTGCTCAAGAGTAATAGTGCTGAAATTGCTGAGGCTTTCTTCCGATACTCTGCCCCAGAAGAGGTAAACCAATTTCAAGTGTTACATTATATTGGATTCATGGTGATAAAATAAAATAACCAAATTAACAAGAGAAAGGTGTAGAAAAGTGATTTTTAAGTGAAATGCATTTTCCTTTTACTTATTTTAATTCAAGAAAAAGAAAAAAAGATAGGGGAGGAAAAGAGGATTTTGCAAATACTAGAAAATTTCAGCTTTGTGTTATTATTAAAATTAAGGATGTAGTGGTAAAATCTATACAAATATTCAGTGTATGGTTCATATTAGTGTCACATTACCTCAGTTTTTTTCTTTCTCTGAATTAGTTTCTATTTTTATTCAACTAGGTAATTTTTTTTTCTGCCTATCTATTCTCCCACTCTATCTGTTTTCTCCATTTAGACATTTACAAATTGATTACTGTCCTAGCTGTTCACCCCTATTCTCTATTTGGACGTTGAAAGTATTCCGATGGTAAAAGAAAAATATATTTTCACATGCATGAAGGTGTCCATGATGCTTGTTGTACAGGACTGCATTAGTCTGTTGCATTTCTCTCCAACCCTCCCCAGTTTTGGAGAGACTTGGAAATGGGTTTGAACTTTGGAGAGAAATTGAATGGCACTGGCAATTGTCCTCTTCTTTTGACTTCTTTCCTAAATGTTGCCATCCGCATGAAAAAGTTTTAACCTCTCTATCTAAACATGCTTAATTTTTCTGTGTATTAGCATTTAGCATTTAGCCTTGAATTGTTTCTTGCCTTCAAATAGGTGATGACTTTCCCATCAACATGCAGAGCTTGTGCCGCTAGGTGTGAAACTGGATGTTTGTAACCAGTATCCTCCCTAACATTTTCTTTGGTTGCATTTCTGACAATATGGTATTTCTGCTTCATGTTTTGCTCCTGTTTAGGGCTATAAATAAAGAGTGTATGCATATCTGTTTGGCAAGTTGGAAGTGTCATCGGTTTCTAGAAATAGTTTTGATTAAAAATGCATATTTATTTGTTCATGGTGCTTCCAAATTTTCATCTTGCTTGTATTAAGAATACAAGTTATAGATGTTTCAAATTGTTGAAGTATTGTTTTTCTGTGGGAAATGTTTTCTTCATATCGGTTATGCACTGGTGAAAATAGAGATGCTTGTACAAGCACTTAACTTTCCTCAGTACTTTGAAAAAAATTAGAGTTCTAGTTCTGCTATCTATTGCATAGCTGACATTCAAGAGAAATTTGAGTTAAATAGTCCCGGTTTCAGTTAAGTAATTAACATATGTCTGATTTCTCCATCTGTTCCTTTTTCCCAATTTCTTTGCTTGCGTTAGAACATTTTAAGCTATCTCTACTAAATCTCAATTTCCTTAAAGATAATCCTTGAGTATCTACATTTATAAGGCAGACCTTTATCCCTTAACTGAATTTATCCTCATAATAGCAATTCCAGAAGGTTGAGTGATAAGTGAAGTAGATTCTAATGGGTCAATGGTCAGTTAAATTTATTGTCAAGATGAGTGTTCGTCCTTCTTACTGAGCTGGAAAGATGTTTGCATCTCACTTGGAGCACATATTACCCCCTCCTGGTCTGTCGAAAACTCTGTTAAAGACTTCACAATATTCTTGCTAAGCCTGTTCAGCTGAATTGTTTTTGCCCATATCAAGGTGTCTTACAAAGTTTATCTATAATTTTTTTTAGCTTAACCACGTACAGGGATTCCATACTTTCAAGAAATTATTGTTATGGCATCCTCACTTGATACTTGTGGCTATTGAAATTCTGAGGTTGGTGGTAATTTTGCTTGTATAATGTTTTGTCTCCACTAACTTTGTGTTTATTAACCATACTTACCTTGCAGTTGAAGCCTAGTGGGCGAATTCCTGAGAAGGGAAAGAAAAATTACCATGTGTGAAAAACGTTGATGATTTAAGATGTGATGTTATAAAGGTGTGTTCTGATCGTGAACTCAATATCATTCTTTTTAGGAGCATTGCAGTAATGACTAGTTTCTCAACAAAATAGGGAAATTGCTACTATTCTGATGTTTGTCTGTGTAAGTTTACTCTATATTTATTTACCAAAATAATGGTTTTCTTTTAATATCTTCCCTATCCTACAATCAGATCTTTTTGTTTTGCTTTTACCTGGGTTGATTGTCTATTAAATCGAGAAAAAGTATATTGTAAATAGTATTCAGTTTAGTCCTAAAGGTGACAGACATGATTACCAGAATCTAGATATATTGATTAAGAGATTGCGAGAATCTAGATATATTAAT